GAATAACATCTTGCTATTAGATCGCTGTTAATAGCTGTTCTATTTGATCGACTTTGAAATGACTGAAGGAGGAGGAGTTACAGAGTGTTGCTTTAAGATGACACAAAAAGACAGAATTTAAAGGATGGTGTGCTCTGAAGATGTTGAAGAAGCTTTTTCTCTTCAGCTTCCTCCATTTCCTGGAGACGTAAAGATGTGTAAACATGCACTGCATGTGTGAGAGATGCCCGATTGTTACAAACCTGTGGAGCTCTGTGAGTGGGGGGAGGTGGGGTCTGAGGGGGAGCACAGTGTTTTAGAGGATCTGGCAGAGGGCCGAGTTCGTCTATTCAGTGTCAGCGAGCGAGGCTTCAGCTGCTTCACCTCTCTGTTCATGTTTTATTGATGCACAGCTGATGAATATTTGAAGGAGAGCTGTCACTCTCTGAGAGTCTGCTTAGATTCCCTCTCAGAGTTTGATCTCTTTTCCTCTGCTCAGAGACACAAGCCCTCATCAGAGCGCCGTTTCAAGCCACCGTATCTACGCCCCTATGACGTTTTGGTCTGTCCCAAGGCGTTACAGAGGAGAGACGGGATCAGCTGAGCCAGCAAGGGAGAACAGCGCTGTGTATGTGTGCAGGTCTGTGTGTGTGTGTGTGTGTGTGCGTGTGTGTGTGTGTGCGTGTGTGCGTGTGTGCGTGTGTGCGTGTGTGCGTGTGTGTGTGTGTGTAGCTCTGTGTCAGACAGAATCTACACCCTGTGTGTTTAAATTCAGTTTGAAGTGATGTAGACGATGTTTGGCGTTCTGAGCTGACGGTCTGAGAGATTTATGTTAAAGTCGATCCTGAGAAACAAAGAAGCGTCACAAACACTGGGAGCGCCACGTTTCATGGCATTGTGTTCCCGTTCTCGGCATCCTTCTGAGAACTGCGGCGTAATCTGCTGCACACTCAGGCGCTAATACAAAACCTCGGCTGAAGATTTGAATATTTAGTCAGAGTTTAATCTGTGTGTGTGTGTTTGTGTGTTTATGTTTGCGTCTGTGTGTATATATGTGTGTGTCTGCGTGAGTGTGTGTTTGTGTGTGTGTCTGTGCGTGTATATCTGTGTGTGTGTGTGTGTGTGTGTGTGTGTGTGTGTGTGTGTTTGCGTGTGTATATCTGTGTGTGTGTGTGTGTCTAGGTGTGTAAAACTTCAGTTTCTCTGAAGGACAATCTTTCCCATCATTAGTTCAGCTTGTTTTTCTGATGACTTTAGATTCAGGCATCCCATGAAAACAAAGCAGAGCCTGACAGAAAGGTATTGATAGTATTGTCTGATATCGGCCTATCAGAGAGTCTTTTAGAGAAGAGATCCACGTTCTTAAAGATGAAACTAAAGAACCATGGTATCTGAAATAGGAACTTTTCCATTGGTTGAAGATGCTCTGCCTCCTTCAGGCTCATGAACACTGTAGGAAACTTCTGTATCTGTGCTATCATTAGCCCCCCTCCTGTCCCGGGTCACCGCCGCCTCAGCTGTGCTACATTCGGCTGACGGGATTGGCTGCAGCAGGTGCTGAGCTCTGCAAACCGCGGCATGCTGGGTAATTAATTAGAGTCCTGTGGGAGGCGGAGTCACGGTGGCTGAGGTCAGGAGTCAGTAAATGCACCTGTACAGTGGCGCGAGCGGTGCAGCTGCTGTGAGGCTAAAGTTAGCTCGTGTGCAACGTGAACGGAGGATACAGTCCTTGTGGTTACAGCAG